TTCCAAAGATGGTTAACTCAGTGGCTTAACAATGTCACTGTTCCTCTGGAATGCTCTGACCTCATCTTTGCAAAATGGCTACTACAGCTCTGGACATCACATCTGCATCCTCAGTCAGCAGCTTTCAAAAAGCAGGAAGAAAAGGGGCTCATTATTACACAGCTCTCCGTGTGTGTGTGTGTGTGTGTGTGTGTGTATCTGTGTTACAGAGTCTCACTGTGTTACCTAGGCTGCATTCGAGTAGCTGGGATTACAGGTGTGTGCCACCATGCCTGGCTAATTTTTGTAGTTTTAGTAGAGACCGGGTTTCACCATATTGATGAACTCCTTACTTCAGGTGATCCACCCCCCTCGGCCTCCCAAAGTGCTGGGATTACAGGCTTGAGCCACTGGGGTCGACCCACATCTTACGGTTTGAGGTAAGGATTGTATTAAATTAAATTAAATTAATCATGTAATCCTCACAATAATTCTGAGATTGCTTAATCATCCCCATTTACGGATGAGGAAGCTGAGGCTCAGAGAGGGCCAGTAACTCGCTTGGGATCACAGCGGGCAGGGGGCAGAGTCGAGTTTGGGGTCGCGCTGCGCGGCTCCAGGGTCCTTGCCTTCCGCTGCAGCCGACCTGGCGGACCTGTGCGGGCAGACGTGGCAGGGGGACGGGCTGCTGCTGCGCTCGCACGCCGCGTCGCGCAGGTTCTACTTCGTGGCCCCGGACACCGACTGCGGGCTCTGGGTGCAGGCGGCGGCCCCCGGCGACCGGCTCCGCTTCCAGTTCCGCTTCTTCCTGGTCTTCACCCTGACCTTAGCGCCCCCGGCGCTCAACGCCTCCGCCCCGGCGCCTGCCGACCCTTGTGCCTCCGGCTCCTACCTGCAGTTCTACGAGGGCCCGCCGGGGGCGCCCCGGCCCCTGGGGTCCCCGCTCTGCGGCCTGACCATCCCGGTCCCCGTGGCATCCTCCGGACCCTTCCTAGGCCTGCGCCTGGTCACGAGAGGCCGCCAGCCCCGCGTGGACTTCGTGGGCGAAGTCACCTCTTTCCATCTGGGTGAGCTGGGGCTTAAGGCGGGTCGGGGCCCCATGCAGAGGCTATGTGGGGCTGGGGCCACAGTGGGGACCCCGGTGAGGGCTGCTGCCGGCAGGGGAATGGTGGGGGCGCCCGGAGCACAAGATGGCAAGGACTGGGTCCAAAGGGAAGGAAGAAGGTGGTGGCTAGTGGCCGAGTCACAACAAGGGACCTCCTGGGCCCTAAAAGCCAACCATATAAATCTGGCTACCATGGATGTGTGCACCAGACTGTCCTACCAGCCCTGATGCACACACACATACACACACATTCACACACAACTCCCCACACACACATTCACACACAACTCCCCCCAAATTCACACAGAACTCCCCCCCACATTCACACACAACTCCCCCCC